AGTGAAGGTTTAAGTTCTTGGTCTAGGCACAGGGAAAATGAACTTTCTTCCTAGCTTTAAGACAAAATGCACAGATGGGTCCCAGCACACTACTTGCTTTGTACTTTGTGACAGGCATTGCTACTTAATGTCTATGAGCCTCAGTTTCCTCAAAACAGTGTTCTTGTGATTATTCCAAGGATTGGATGAGACTGTATGTGCAGAACATGATGTATAAACCTCAGTGGGGTTCAACAAAAGGTAGCTGCTATGTTTTGAAAACGATTATTAATCAGACTGATAAATGGAAGGAACTGTGAGCAGAAATGTCAGTGCTTATAGAATATTTGTTAGGAAAACTGTGCTGAGGGTGGTAGAGGCAAGAGGATCAGAAGTTCAAGGTCATCTTTAGCTACTTATCGAGTTTGAAACAAGCCTGGACAATACGAGGATCTGCCTCAAAAAGCAAATGATCAAAACACAATGAAAAGAAAGAAAGAATAAAAAAGAGAGAGAGAGTTCCTGAGATATTACATCTAAATAGCCACAGAATTAGAGCACCATTCCTTACAATAGCCTGCTTCAGGTACCTGCCAGACTTTACAACTCAGCCAACAACAGAGTTAAAGTCTCCTACCCTTCCATGAGCATAAATTACACATTCTACATTTTTAAAAACTGATCATGTGAGTAGCTAACCTGAATATATCCCCAAAAATGTGAAACACCAAGTGTTCTGTAACCTTCTTCTTTGGTGATTTTTCTTTCCTCTCCCCCACAAACCAATTTCCAAAATGGGCAAAGAGCACAGTAGGTGGCTGTCTTTAATATTTCACAGGCAAAGCAGTAGTGACTCACCAGATCCTACATCTGTGTCACCAGCAAAGGCCTGATGAAGTTGAGCAACAAATGAAATTGTGTGCATGCAGAAGACAGCCTCATTTTCCCTCGCCTCCTCTCTGACTCCACACTCTACTGACAATACCAGCTGAGATTACATCAAATACCCACCTTTGGGCAAGACCAAACACAGGCTCTCAAATGTGAAGAGCAAGGAGCAAAGCGTGTCTCCTAGAACAGCGTTGGTAAGCCTTCCTCTAAGCTTCAAAGGGAAGAAGCCCAGGCTGTGAGGAGTCTCCATGGACAGCCGCCTCACTGCCTGGACCAGAAAAATCTCTGTTCATTTTTCTCCATAAGCTTCAAGCCATCAGCTTCTACATGGAAGACTGAAACTCCAGACTAGTGATTAGCAGCAACAGCAAGGAGTGGTTTCCCCCAAATGCTGCCTTTGCATACTGTGTTAGCTAGCTTTTCATTCCTGTAATCAACACACCTAGCATTAAGCATTTAAAGGAAGAAGAGTTTACTGCAAAGGGTGCCGTCCATGGGTGCTTGACCCTGTGTGCTAGGGCGGGGCATCACTTGGAGGAGAGTTGTGACAAGGTGGCTGCTCACATCATGGCCCACTGGAAACACAGAAAGAGAAAAGGCAGTTGTTCTACTGGTGGTGTCCTCTCACCCTTTAATTCTCTCTAGGACTAACTTATATTTAGGGTGGGTCTCCCCCATCCTCAGAGAATTGTCTCTAGAATCTCCTTTCCAGACACTCAGAGAAATGTGCTTGAACAATTTCCTAGGTGAGTCTACATCCCGCCAAGTTGACAATGAAGGTTAGCCTTTCCACTGTTCTACCTGTTCCACTCTCCCCAAGGAAGTGGTGAGAGTTGGCTGTTAGGACATTCATGTCATTTCCTCCTCAACCATCATGCTAGTCACCAACAGGAGTGTAGAGGAAGAAGCCATTATGGAAAGAAAGAGAAGCCTGACATAATCCTCTACAGTGTCCTGACAGCAGCCTTCTTCTGGGAACTGACGTTGCATCACATCCAATGTAAGAGAACAGGATGGTGTGGTATAGAGCACTATCTTGAAGTCTACTAGGAGTCAGCTCCACAAAGCTCTACAGAGCTGTGTTGAAGAATTGTTCTCTTAGCAAAGAAATAACCACTTTATGACCTGAAATCACCAGCCAAATAAGGTCAATCTAAGAATGAAAATAAACTTCTCAAGTTCTCATTGGAAAAGAAGCAGGGTATAACCAGAAAAGCCCCCCCAAAAACTATATGAGAACTTAAAGGCATTAACTATATTCCCAGGGCAGAAATTTCCCAGCCCAATGATCCCTGGAAACCACTCATTTCTCTAAATCTCATTCTAATTTTCTTTCCAGTGGATTGAGAAAAGCTAAGTGAAGGCATCATTTAATGAACAGGGCATCCATCTACCACACGCACTCAATGTTAGAGCTTCATCCTCACACAAATTCTTAGGGTAAACATTTTTAATTCATTCTAGAATGAGGAAAACAGAAGTTCTAAACAGTAAAATAATTTGTCCAAAATGACCCATCTGAATTTTGATGAATTTTGAATCAAGCAGTTTTCACAACACCCTAAGCTCCTTCCACTACTGCTGTAAGTATTCCTGCAATGTCCTTTTCTCAGGGCTATTGCAACAACAAGGAAGACAATATACATGGAACACACTTGGAAATTGTAAAGTTCACACACACACACACACACACACACACACAGTTTTGGTATAACAAGTAACAATATGTTTAAGGAGGAAGGATAAAACTAAACATGCTTTCTTCAACAAAGACAGAACCAAAAGAGATTTGCTTTCAGTCTCCCTCATATCCCCTTGTTTTGACCTTATTGGGGGCATTTTCCTTTTCCCCACAAGTCCCTGTTCTCTCAGACATACATTCAGATGTATCCTGGCCAACTCATCACAATGCATACACACAGAACAAGCTTACAGACAGGAGTGATCCCATCCTGTAGCAATGCCAGGCATGGGAGGTACCTAGTGGACACCACCAGAACCTCACCTTCCCTCAAGATGTATCCCACCCCTTCCCAAGCATTTGTCAACACTGCATGCGAATGATGTGGACTGTGAAGGGGCAGCCCAGTATAAATGCTAACCACTCAATTCGGGGACTTACAGCATAGCCAGTAAACATGGTAAATAACTGTATAGATCAAAATAAAATCAATTGTCCTGGGAGCAGAATGGGGGTGTCTATGGAAAACTGTTTAATTTTTAAATAACATTAACAAAGGAAGGTTTGTATAGGCATATGTATTTATGTTTAAATAGAGCAAATCGGTGTCCAGAAGAGACTGAATTTAGCAGCACTCCTTAATAATCTCTGAAAATTCTGTTGTTTTCTGAAGAACATGAAATTGCTAGACTGACCTAAGAACAGGAGGAGAACTTGGCACAATCTAGAGCACGTTTACCTCCATCTTCCTCCTCTCATCTTTTTGACCCTTCATCAAATCAAGACCCTCATTGCCAACACATGATGTCTCCTATCAGGGCAGGCCACAGGCTGAAGACTTGTTCCAAAAACTAACAAGAAATTCACATCACTCAAATATCAATTTTATATCCAAGTCAAGTATTCATGATCCAAGTCACCTGTAGACAACATACTGAAAACACTATAAAGAACAATCCAATCCAAGGGGGAGGCCATATGGCTCAGTAGGTGAGTGTGCCTGCCTCCAAACCTGTACCTGAGTTTGAGCCCATATGGTAAAAGGAAAGAACAAACTCCTGCAAATTGTCCTGTGACCTCCCCATGTATACGTTTACACACACATACAATAAATAAATAAATAAATAATAAATAAATAAACAAACAAGCAAATAAATAAATAAACGGAAACCTTGCGGGGCATGGTGGCACACGCCTGTAGTCCCAGCGCTTGGGAGGCAGAGGCAGAGGCAGGCGGGTCTCTATGAATTCATAAATAAATAATACATAAATAAATAATACATAAATAATAAATAAACCTAAAGGAAATTTTTTAAATACCCAAACTCCAAAAAAGGGAAAAATCATTCCATTTCCATATTTTTTGTCACTCCAAGTGGAATTCCACCTTCTCAAACCCAGTGTGTCCAGGCTTACTGCCTAGCAATATTTACCAAAGTTGCCAGACTACTCTGAACATGCAACTTGAATTGTCCTATTTCATCCTCTCTACTACCCGTGGTGAGCACACTGTCCATTTTGCGGCTGAAAATAGAATCAGAAAGGTGGGCTAAATTGCCCAGATTCACACAGCTACTACAAGACAGAGCTGGAGAGCAGGTAAGATCTTTACAGCAGGTAGCTAACCAGGAGTCCGCACAGTGGAGCTTTTAATACTTCTCAAGGAGCCCTGGCTCACAATTTCACAACCAGTGGGTGGAGGGAGAAGGGCAACCAGGGACTGGCTCTTAAAGGAAAGAAGTTTGCTTTTGTTTCCTATTTTCTCTTAGTTGCCTTGTTCCTTCCCAAGACTTATAGGTAGAAAGGGGCTCCAAACTCCATGAGTCAGTGCATCTTAAAAGGACAGGCATCCTGTGTCCTGCAGGACTAAGGGCTCCTCTGCCTTGGAGGCTGGGAGAGAACTGTGAGCAACGCAGGAGATGTCCGGCTCCTGGGGGCGGGAGGATCTTCCCTCTCCCCCAATTCACCATGAACCTTACCGACCCCAAGACAAACCTACATTGGAAAAAGCAGGTCAGGAAGGAAAGAGCGATGGAGGCTGTGGCAGCCTCTCCTGGGCTGCCATGCAGGGACTGGGAGAAAAGGGTTGGAGTGGGTGTGCTGGGACTATGTCTCCTGCTAGCCTCAGGCTTACAGCCTTGCTCCTGAGAAACCAAGAAACCAAGGCGGCGGAAGACTAGGGTAGATCCCTCAAAGGGCTGAGAAATGGCACATCCACGGGCAGTCAGCCCACGACAGCGTTACTCAAACCCTACCAACCGGACCCCGCTACGGATTGCTGAGTTCGAATCCCGACCACCGAATTGCTAGCAGCTTGGTGTAGCCTGGCAGCTGTTCTGCCCTGTGTCTCAGTTTTCCCATCTGTAGAACAGGAGGGGTGAGGGAGGAGATCTCTGAGAATCCTGCTACCCGAGTTTCCGTGGAGTCCTCCCCGCAGCGCAAGACTCACCTTCCCGGGCCAGCCAGGTGGATTGGGCGACGGCTGCGGGACCGGTGCAGGGTCGCGGGGCACTGCCTCTTTCCGCGCCCTGGCCCACGCGGAGCCCCAGGGATCCCGATCCCTGCAGCCTGCCCCAAAGAGCCTCTTACTTTCCGCCGCACTTTCTTTTTCCCCCTCTGGGGCTCCTCCCCCGGTACCGCGCGATTGGCCCCGAGATCGTGGAACAAGCTCCTCCCGCCCCGCGGCTCTCGCTCTGCCCACGGTCGGGACTTGCGAGGCCGGGTCGGGGCGGTACGCCTGGCAGTCCCGCCCGCAGCGAGGAGGAGCCGCGCCGGGCCAGCCCGCCTGTCAACGCTAGGCTGTGCCTGTTCCCCGCGCCCAGGGCGGGACTGAGCGCGCCAGGAAGAGCCAGCCCCGCACCCGGCCCGCACAGCCCAGCACCCTGGAAGAACGCCCTGCACACCAGGCGCTCACGCCTGCTCCTTGCCTCGTCGCCGTCTCGCAGCGGAGGTCGAGGCTACCCTTCCGTTTCTTCCTGCCTCTCTGTTTACCTGTCATGCCCGGCGGCCTTGGGTCAGTGCCAGCTGCGCCCTGGAGCGCCCACCCTGTGTCCGACACAGAGTGCAACAGGAGCAAGAAGCCGCAGAGCCGGAGCCGGATCCGCAGTCCAGAGCTCTTGCTTGCTCTGCTAGAAGTGGCTGTCACTGGAACCCGCACCCTTCATGAAGGCGAGACTGTCATCCACTGTTGATAACCAGTGGCTAGCACAGTGCCTGGCACAAAGCAGGCATTCAGGATATGTGTGCTGAAAGAATGCATGGGCGAGTGAGTGGGATAAACGATTACAGAAGACAGTAAGCACCAAAAAGCCATTTCCTTCTCCTTCCTTCTCCTATCTCCAGGGTTCTGCAAGTCCTCAGCTGCCCTCTCCAATCTAGACTGTGGTTACATAATCATTCCAGAGGCTTCCTAAGGGTCTTCCTTAAGTCAACTCTAGTGTTAAAGAGCCTTCCTGAGGGCAAGGCCTTTCAAAGCCTGTCCCCATTTCCCGTTTCTGAGACTCCCTAACAAAGGCAGTTTTCCAAACAGACATGTCCCCTCCCACAGACCTCACTCATTACTATTTCCTCTTAGAGGGACTTAACTGAATCTGGTTAACTGAATTTGGTTATTCAAGAAATCGAGATCCAGACAGAGCAATTAAGAGGAAAAGTGGTGTTTAAAAGGGCCTGGGAGAGTAAGAAGGACCAGTGGTTGCCAGACATACTAAAGATGCCGGCAGTTCAAACATCAGATACCATCTATGATCTGGTGGAATTTCAAGCCTGTGTTAGTTACTGTTACCTTGCTGTGACCAAAAAACCTGAGCGAATGGCTTGCAAGAGGAAAGACATGCTGCCTTCCATCTCAGCGATTTCCTTAGATCTGTTGATTCTGTGCCGGGTGAGGGAAGAACACTGGAGAGGCTGTGCAGTTCACGGCCCACCAGAAGCATAGGGAAACAAGAAGGTATGAGAGAGACCAGATACAGCCTTCAGCACCATGCCTGCACTGAGCTGCTTCCCCCAGCTGGATTCTGCCTCCTGAACTTCCCAGAATTTCCAAAACAAGCATTTAGCTGAGGAGAATAGTCAAAGCACAGTAACTGTCCAAGGAGAAATAAGTGTTCCCAAAGGTTCAGCAATGGTTTCGCACAACCTCTTGGTCTCAGAAAAATTAATCCATTAAATTACTATTTACCCCTGGATATCTGGCACATAGTACCTGTCCACAAGATTGTCACTGACCCAAAAGAAGAAATGATTTAGAAACATTTTTAAAGTTACCTAAAAGAAACAAAAATAGAACTCTTTGATTTAGTATTCATTCATTCAACACACAGCACTATTTTCTTGCCTTGTACACTTACTAAGCACTTATAGATTACCTACAAAGTAGAAGGCACAATCAATCATAATGACTTTAGATATATTAGTTCACTTAACCCTCATAACAACCTCAGGGGGTGCTTTTAGAAGACAGAAAAAAAAATCAAATAATTTGGGCAATGCTATAAACCTAAAAATGAAAAATGCAAACTAAGGACCCGGTTGTTAGTACTGACTTCTGTACCAGTTCTTGTTCTACCCAGAAGCCAGATAGAGTGATGGTAATGCAGAATTAGACCAGATGTTGCCCTGGACTTTGAGGAGCTACACATAATGAAGATAGAAGGCATGCTGACCAATAATCATACTATATTATCATTGAAGTCTACATAAATAGTACAAATTAAAAGTACTGGTTAAGCAGTGCTATGTGTTCATACAACAAAACATGTTAGTACACAATTACTATATTATAGATATATTTCTGAGAAAATGACTTAGAGTAAAATTAATAAAATAGGTAAAAGACATATAGACATTAATTGAAAAGAATGTGGAAAACATTGATATGTTAGGATTATGGAGTATTATCATTAGTTCTGATTATGGATTTAATACAGTGTAGAATTGTCTGGTAAAGGAGTCTTAATGAAGAATGTCTAGATTTGGTTGGCCTGTGGGCATGCCTGTGAGGGGTTTTCTTAATTGGGTTAATTGAAGTGGGAAGACTCACTCTGAATATGGGAAACACTATTTCATGGACTGAGCCCTGAACTGAATGAAAAGGAGAGAGCTAGTCGTGCACTAATATGCACACACGAATCCATTGCTCTCTGCTCTTGGCTGTGATGTAGTGTGACCAGGACTTTCAAGCTTCTGCTGCTGTGACTACCCTGCCAAGGTTGGCTGTAGCCAGCTAAATAAGCCCTCTCTCCCTTAAGTTGTTCTGGTCAGGGTGCTTTTGTCGCACCAACAGAAAGGAAACTAGACAGTCATCATCTTTCCTTTTAAGATTCATTTTACTATCAAAAATTATTACTCCATGGTCAAGGTCTCTAATGACCTCCACAGTGGCCAATCTTCAATCTTCGTCATGCTTGACCTCCTAAGCAGCATTAGACAGATTTGATCCACAGAGCCTTCCCCTCGTCCCTTCTTTTCACCTGTCCTGTATGCCACTCCATGTGGACCACTCCACGGGACAGCTGTCTCTGAAGGCAGGAACACTCCAGATCTCAGTCTGTGGGATGATTTTATTCCCTCTTTCGAGCATCTTATCCAAACATGTAGGTTTCTAAACTATCTATGTGAGAATGACCTGAAAACTTAAATCTACAGCCCAAACCACAGACCGAACATGTGGTGCTTGTGTCCTTCATACTCCTTCCTGGTATTTTATGTGTATCTCCATTTTACATATTCAGGGTCAAGCTCATGTTTTCTACCCTTCACAAAATCTCCATTTTCATGGCTTTGTAAATAAATACCAACATTTTATCCAGTTGTTTGGGACGAAAAGGCAGAGTCATCCATCCCTGTCCCCTTGTTCATATGCATTCCAACCACAGATCTCACCTTTCTAATGTAGTCAACATATATCTAGACACTGAACACAACTCCTCTAGCATAAGCAACCTGCCCAACTTTTGAACATCTCTTCCCTCACTACTCAGTCTGCTTAAACTCTGAAAGAATCTATAGAAAGAATAGAATAGAAAGAATCTATTTCCCACACCTGAGAGACCATTACAAGTGAAAATCAGAACAAATACAGGGCTGCTGGTTGAGGGAATAGTTTCTGAAGCTAGACTTCCTGTGTCTAATTTCAAATTATGTAACACATTAACATACCATACCATGTTACATTGCTTCAGTTTTGCTCTGTAAAACAGGAAGAATAATAGCTTTATCGTAATTCTGTTTTGAGAGTAAATAGTATATGTAAATAAAACTCTTAAAACATGAATTGATGCTAGAAATGTTATGTAAATATATGTAAATAAGATGGAGCTGGGGAAATAGCTCAGTGTTAGGAGATTTGCCTAGTATGTATAAGGCTCTAGGTTCAAACACCAGTACCACAGGAAATAAAAAGAAACATACCGTGCTCGCTTTCAGTGCTCCATTATGAATTTGTCCTCACAATTGGGCAAACTTGCAGAGTCCTTCCCATGGTCTGTATGACCTGCCATCGTTCAGTACCGTGCTCTCTAAGTCAGCCATCCTCTGCTCCATGCACTTGTTCAAGCCCACTAGCATGCTCTCTACCCCAGAATTTAGCACCTTCTGTTCCCCTTCTTGGAGTATTGTTCCTTCACCATGTCCCAGCCACATCTTCCTGCTCTACTCAGCTGACACCCCGTTAAAACCTTTTCTGACAATCACATGAAATCCCTTCATTCTTTATCTTACCTGGGTCGGGGTTTATTTTTGTAGCATGCCTTTCTAACTAGAATGCAAGCTTTATAAGGGCAACATGATGCCTTCCTATCAAATAGGCAATGCTTTTGCACAAGCTGTCATATTTAATGAATATCTGTTGAAGTATAAATCCAGCACAGATCTTTCTCTTTTACTGTTTTTATCACATTTATTTATTTATATTTCTTTCTTTATTTATTTATTTACTGTGTCCATGTGATTGTAGGGGAGGTGTGCATAGCACAACCACCTTTACCCGCTGAACCATCTCACTGGCCCCAGTCCAAAACTTTTATGATTAAGCATGAGATTTATTATGTGACAAATTTATTGCCCTCCATTTTTTACTTACATTTGGGAATGTCAAAATATAGAAGGAGAGGAAAAAAAGCAACAGCTAGCAGTCTGGACTACATGCAAAGGATGTAGGCATTTCACATTGTGGTTTTGGATGAAGGCAAAGGGCAGGACTGAACCAAGAGGGAAAATTCTATGAAAAAGAAAAAAAATTAACTATGTCAACTTCTATATTTTTATGTTCCCACCTTTCCTATCTCTTGGTTCTCCCCTTTCCCGTGGCTTCCGGGGCCCTGATGCCATACCCATTCTCTTAGGGGCAGTGGCCCCCTGTGGTTCTCAGTACTGCCTTTCCCCATTCCTCCTGGGAATCTCCTTCTCCTTGGTGCCTATGCTCCTAATAAATGCCCCTCCCCTCAGTTTTGATTAGCTAAGTTTAGAAAAACAAGAAAACTAACCAATGGAATGTTAAGGTAGAGATTTCTAGAAACTCAACCTGTTTTGTCAGAAACAAATGCGCATTTGCCTAAACACATATACCTAATCATTGAAATTAAGGCTGTTTAAAATGCTGTGCTGTGCAGTGGGAGGCTTTCTTAGCCTCATCCCTTAGCAGTCAGTTACATGCAGTCTCTGGTATAAGGGGAGAAGAACTTCTGGATCCTATCCAGAGCTCCCTTCATAAGCATAAGAATGGACAGGGAGCCCAGGAACCACATGGAGCTGTCAAAGATGAACTCCACTGAACAGTAGTTAAGGCAGAGAAGCAGATTTGTTCAGTTACTACTGACAGTAGCGGAAAG